AGAAGAAGAAGAAGAAGAAGAAGAAGAAGAAGAAGAAGAAGAAGAAGAAGGAGAAAGAATAAACAATGTAGCTTTTTTCAGGAAGAAAATATATAACAGAATAAATAAAAACAATTATTTTCAATTCCTTGCTGCTTTAACGATTATCCCTGTATGGTTGATAGATGTGCTTTGCTGGACAAGCTTCTCAACATCCTAGGATTAATGATAAGGCTAAATATACATTGGATACAGTGCAAAGATTTTAATTTATTTTTATTGAACTCAACAACACCTTGCCTCTGTATCTCCAGCTCAATAAATAGAACAATCAATTTGTAAGGGCGTTAGTCAAAGGGTGTGTAACATAGACTTGGGTGATTTCTACTTGCGAATAGGTAAACCACAGCAGGCCCTGCTATATCCAGGGCTATGGGCGCTGAGTGGCAATTCCCTGGCTGTAGCTACCAGCTATGCATTTACTCTGCTGTTAGTGGACCTAGCAGCTGGGAGCAGGGACCCTAGCTATTGTAAAAAAAAAAAAATCTACCAGGCACTCATTTATTTCCTATTACACTGTAAGCACTTGGCAGGGCATCTGGTTCCACTTTCCTGGGTTAGGATTGGGTGCCCAGGAGACACAGTTGTGAGGGGAGCAGCTGGAATCTTTGAGACGTCAAATAGGAAACCCAGAAGTTTTAGAATTTTTAACAGCATTTTCTTTATGTGGTTAATGGGCTGCTGGGTACAGTCAGGATGTGCTCAGAATCTCTGATGTGTCATAGACAGAACTCACCTTGAAATCAGACTCACCATACCTTTGTCTGCTTTTATAGTATAAGATTTAGTGGTGTAGGTATGACAGAGGGATCTTACAAGGGATTTTGGTGGATGATCAATGTCTATAAAAATACTGAAGAGGTAGAAATAAACTATACGGGGTGGCAGGGATGAGAAGAGGAAATTCAGAGATCTTCCATGGTTAGACTTTAATCCTGGTCTCATCATGAAGCTCTCATGCCAATAAAGAGACTAAAATTCCATGAGCACAAATTCAAAGTGTTTGTGTCCACATCAGAGGCTTCTGGGAACTACCTGAGCATCCCATCAGGTGAAAAAGGAACTCTGCCAGCGATTTACAGGCTCCCCTGGTGTCTCAAGAAATGAAATATGTTCCTAATTCAATTGTACTGTGTATATTTGATTAAAACCATGTTTCTTGGGAAGTTCAATGGTTGCATAGATTATGTATCCTTTTTCTTGTCTAGATCATTCTTAGGCAATGTGTAGAAATCTAGCAGTCAGACCAGACTGGTGGTATGTGTTTGTAATCCTAGAACAGAGGAGACTGTGGCAACAGAATGGTCAATATGAGGCCAGCTTGAGCTATATAAAGAGACCGTACCTGAAAACAAAAGAACAAAAAAATAAGCAAACAAATAAACCAGTATCCTTCAATAAATATGTGTTTACAGTTTTCAAATATCACCTTATTGTTTCCAAAGTAATCTAGGGAAACTCTATCATCAAAATTGAACTTCGCTGTAATTTTTTGGAACATTTCCAAAATAGTAGAAAAGCATAGTTTCTGAAAAGACCAAAAAGAAGTGAACAACAGAACTGCTAGGAGTTTGAACTCGGGCTCTTTCCGTTCACTCATCATCAAACTTGGAAGTCTTCTCTGTCCCTTCCCGCTGTTGCTGTGAACCCTGTACTGTGGCAATAGTGAAGGCCCTACCTTCAGAGCATGTGGGGGCTCTCTGGATGTGCGTTGCTCACCTCAGAACCATGGGAGGAAGGAAAACAATGGAGCACAGTAAGGTCCTGAGTGATATGTAAAGAGACAGTCGGAGTAGAGCGAGTATCCTTTTGCATGGGATGGACAATCAGCCATTGAATCATAGAGCAGCCAATCCTCCCTTCCATTTCCTTCACACCTCCTCTCACTGTGGGAGCCTCACAGTTCTCCAAGTGTGTCAGGGCTCTTCAGCTTTTCGTCTTCCAGCTTCCTCTCTTCTCACAAATATCCAGGCTGTCTCACACTTCTGTGCCTCAACAGAGGCCATGCTTACTGGTAATAGAATCTTTTTCTTTGTCCACTGTCTACATTTATCCAGACCCCTCCCTGCATCTCTTCCTTCCTCCATCTCTTCCTTCCCTCCTTCTCTCTCTCTCTCTCTCTCTCTCTCTCTCTCTCTCTCTCAGTATGGGTATGCATGCATGTTCATGTGTGTGGGTACAAATCCGTATCTGCATGTGTAGGTCAGAGATCAACTTTGGGTATCATTTCTCAGGTACGTTCCCCCCTCATGTTTTGAGCCAGAGTACCTCAGTAAACTTAGACCTTGCTGATTTGACTAGTCTGGCCGATGAGCTGAGGGATCTACTTTTCTCTGCCTCTCCAGTGTCGTGATTACAAGCACATGTCACAATACCTGTCTTTTAACATGGGTCTTGGGGATGGAGGTTAGAATTTGGGTCCTTGTGCTTGTACGATCAGGCCTTTTCATATTTCCATCAATCATTTAAACTATTTTTAATTGCTTATTTTTAATGTGGGAGGGCACATGTGTTATGGTACATGTGTGAAGATTGGAGGACAATTCTGTGGATTCAGTTCTCCCCTTTTACTTTTATGTGGGTTCTGGGGGTTAAACTCAGGTCATCAGATTTGCATGGCAGGCCTCCCAACCTGATGAGCCTCTTTGCCAGCCCTGTAACTATCTCCCTACCAAACCTTTCTTCCAGGCAGGAGGATCTGCCGATGAATGCCCAATAATGAAGCATTTCAGACATGAGATACGAAGGCAGAAATCAGAACGGTTGCAGGTGCTTGATGTGATTGCAGCGCCCTGTCTGGACTGCCTCCAGTTCCTGTCTCCACCTGTTACATCAGGTTGTCCCACCCTCTTTGTTCATTCAGGTGCCGTTCCAAACACACACACCTATTACACTGTAGGCACTGCAGAGAGACAGAAAATAAAATACAGTGCTGAATGAGGTTCTCCACCTCTCTGTGAAGTCTGCCGAATAGGCCAGAACTGCAGACACAACTACATTCTGACAGAGTATAAGGATACATTGGGGAGGAAAATCGTACCATCAGAAAAGCCCGTGAAAATCTAACTGCCGTAATTTGGGCAAAGACGGTGATGGAATAAGCAGGTAGAATGCTAAGCTAATGCTAATTGGAGAAGTCCTAAGGGCTATCGGCATGGCTCGCAAGTCTATGCACTGTCTCCTGTATGCCAGGATTTCAGTTGGGTGTTCATCATACAGCCCATCTCAGTTACTTTTCTGCTGCAGTGGTAAACTCCATGAGCAAGGCAACTTAAAGACGAAAGACTCATCTGGGCTTCCGATGGCAGAGCAAAGGCTTGGTGGCAGGAACAGGAAGCTGAGGGCTAACCTCGAACCACAGGCGTGAAGCAGAAAAATAGCAAACTGGGGATGGTGATAAGCTCTTGAAACCTCAAAGCCCAACCCTGGTGACACAGTTCTTCCAGCAAGACACACCTCCTAAACTTACCCAAACTGTAGTCTCAGCTGGGTACCAAGTGTTCAGGCATATCTGAGCCTCTAGGAGATAGTTCACCTAAACCTTCATATACCCTCACCTCCCATTCTTATAAACATCATTATAGAAGGTGCCAGCCATCTTTAATAGAAAGAAATAGAAGAAATCGAGAGGTTCGTCTCATGCTAGAGGACACATAGATAATAAGCATCAGTGTGTCTGTCTCCAATGCCCGAGGTTTTATACAAAATTTGGCTCTTGTTCTGCTAATGGCCATGACCAAGAGGGAGGCACATGCTGTGTTTCAGCTCATAGTCACTGAACCCTGGTTCTTTGCTGTTTGGCTTTCATATCACAAAGTCCTGAGCAATAATAGATCTTTCCTGTGGGCTGAACTCCATCTGCTCCCCTCTTGTCCTCTTCTGAAGAATCACTCTCAAGCCTCCCAGGGGAAGTGGTCCCTGACCCTGCTGAGAGCAGCTTCAACATACACACCTCTACCAGGGTCCTTGAAGGCGCTGCTACTATGGTTGTATCTCAGATCAGTCACATAAGGAGGAGGATGGGGGGAGTTATTGCCCCTGAAAAGAAAACTGTTATAGATCTGACAGAGCAACTGCGTCCCATGATAGTGACATAGGCTTTATAAAGAAACTGCTGAGCTCTCTGTGATTTTCATCTTTACACCAATCTGGGAGATTCTGTGTTCTCCATAGCTTTAACACTTAATGTGAGTCGGCTTTTAATTAGCGGTCTTTAGAGGTAAAAAATCATTTCCTACTGTGGTCTTAAGTTCCACTTGCCTGATGGTAAGATACACTAAGCATCACGTGGTGTGTTTATTTGGTATTCACTGTTTCCTTTGTAGTGTCTATTCAAATATCCCATATTTTTAATTGATTCTTTAGATTTCTTAATGTTAGCTCATGGGTATTCTACATGTAATCTGGATTCCAAAGCTCAATAGAGAGAGGCTTTTGAAAGAGTGTGTCTCAGTTTATGGTTTGTTTGTTTTTCTAGCAGTGTCTCTCAGAGAGTAGATATCTTTTTATTCTTCTGAAGCGGAGTTTAACTCTCAGTGATTGTGATCATTAATCATCACTGTCAACTTGACTGGATTTGGAGTTGCCTGGGAGACACATCTGTGAGTGTGTCTGTGGGAGTGTTTCAAGAAAGGTTCAACTGAGGAGTATAAACCCATTATAAATGTAAGTGACAACCCCTCATGAACCAGAGTCCCAGGACAAAGAAAAAGGAGGATGTGAGCTGAGTAGAAACATTGACCTCTCTGCTTCCTGACTGTAGCTACAATGTGATTAGCTCACACTCCTGCCAATCTTACCACCATGCTTTACAAACCATGACAGATTGTTCCAGTTAACCACAGCCCCGCCCCCAGATTCTTCCCTCCCTTACATTGGTTTTGCTGTGGTAGTGAGAAAATTAGATAGTATAATGAGCTTTCTCTGGGTGTCATATCTAAGACATTTTGCCCAATGTTCCTGTTGGGCTCTAGAAGTTTTAAAGTCTTTCTAAAAAGTTTAGATCTGGCTGACATTTTGAGATTCTTTTTATATGTGATATGGGTGCACATTGAAGCTCTTTCTCCAAATGTGAATATATAACTGCCAATCAATCTTCACTGGAAAAGACCATCCTTTATCTGCTGATTTGCCTTTGCAGGGTTTTCATAGCTCAGTTGTCCATATTTGTGTGAATCGTTCTAAACTCTCTGTTCTTATCTGTCAATCTCATTATCCATCTTCACCCCACACTATAGTTTTGTAAGCTTGGAAATCAAGTATATTGGTAATCCAACTGCATTCTTCTCTTTCACTTATTTGGCTAATCTAAAGCCTTTTCCTTCTCTCAAGAATTAAAGACTAGATGATCAAGGTTTTACTTGTTGAAATTGTGATGATTATTGCATTTGTATAAATTCGTTATCTTTTATATGGATTTTATTTTTCCTTATGTATATTTATGGATTGTATGTGGATATGTGCAACTGGATGCCAGTGCCTATGGAGGTCAGCAGAGGGCATCAGATCCTGGAATGGGAGTAACAGGCAGTTGTGAGCTCTCTAACATGGGGATTGGTGACTCAACTCAGGTCCTCTGTCAAAGGATTATGTCCTCTTACACACTGAATCATCTCTCTAGCTCCCAAGATTTTTTTTATTATATAATTTAATCCTTCTAATGTTTGATTGGGCTGCATCTCTGTATTTACTCTTTTATTGTTTAGTCCTTCTCAGTAGGATTTTTTGTCTTGTTGTAGATGCCTTACACATTTCTTTCCAAGTTAACCCTTCAATATGCCACATTTTAATGCTTTTGAATATGTTATTACTTTAATGGACAGTTTTGACAACCAGATTTCAGGGAAAAAATGAATTTCAAAATGTGACTTCAAGGCATGTATCTGGATGATATATTCACAGGAAAGAATGCAAATGGGTCAAGCATGAAGTCATTCCGCAGTAACTATGGAGTATTTGCTCCAAGACCCTGCAGGTATGAAATCCACAGATGCTCAAATCCATCACCCATGGTGATGTGTGTGAGCACCTTCAACTCATCATCCTGGATACTTCAAATCATCTCTACATTCCTTATAAGTCAGTAAAGTGTCCTGAGTCTCGTAAGCAAATGAAAGCTTGAATCTGGAGTGAAATAAACTCAGAAAATTATAAACTTGGGAGTCAGTTTAGTGAGCTAATGATCAGAGGAATGAGATTGACATACTCATCATGTGGCAGTGGTACCTTCCATCTGCATCTTCGCTGATAGACAGATCCTGTCAGAGATGGGCATCTTGCTTTGGCTTTTGATTTTAAATTTCAAATAGTGTTGGAACTTAGCAGGAGTTTCAATCAAAATTGTTGGGTTTGTGCCTTAGGGTGCTGACCCTCATTTTTATCATACATTACCTCTAAATCCCAAATACTGGACTTTGGCCCTTTGAAACACAAGACTTTCTAATGTAGGTCAACAAAGGCCCAGCTGGTACTTTTCTGTTGTGGGAGTCCCCTCTGTGTGCTGTAATTACCATTAATGAGTAAATAAACTGCCTTGGCCTGTTGATAGGGCAGAATTTAGGTAAGCAAAGAAGACAAAATTGAATGTTGGAAGAAAGAAGGGCAGAGTCAGTGAGACTCCACGAACCTGCTGCCTGAGATAGATGTTCTGAGACTTTGCTGATAGGCCACAACCTCGTGGTGATATATAGATTAAAAGAAATGGGTTAAACTAATATGTAAGAGTTAGCCAACAAGAAGTTAGAGCTAATGGGCCAAGCAGTGATTTCATTAATACAGTTTCTGTGTGATTATTTTGGTTCTGGGCAGATGGGACAAACAAGCAGCCTTCCTGTTACACCTTTCTTTAGACAAAAAAGTTGTCAATGAATAGTGACTTAACAACTAATTAATATATGACTAATACTGTGTCTGATACCAATGATTGGCATTCCATCAAGCATCAAGCACCAAGTGTTTTCTGTATGTTTACTTCACCAATCCTTACAATAACCTTAAGAAGTAGTCACTGCTGTTGCCCTTATTTAATAATGTGAAAATGGTCCTGGAGAGATGGGATGTTTGACTCATGGCCATAGAGTTTATCAGTGGTAAAATATGAAGTCACTGTAGACAGACCATCTTAATGTACATATTGTGTTATGTAAGTGGTGTAGCTTGCATACCAATCAGCTATTCCTCAAAGAACCTCCTATTTTCAGTCTTTATTTGATCTACTATCCTTTTCTGCATAGAGAAATCCTTAATGGACTGGGACTTATCTTCAAGCTTAGGGCTGAAGCCTTTTATGCACTGTGAGGTTCTGTGCTTCATTGATGATGGAGGACATCTCAGAGAATGGGTATGTTTAACAGGTAGATACTGACATTTATAATTCTTACAAACTATTTTTTCAGCTATATTATGCATTAAAAATGAACTCCTCTGGATGTAGTGATGAATAACACATCAGTTCCTTCCTGATTATTTATATACATTTGGCAGTTCAAATGTATATAATGTAATCATCGGATCAATAAACAAATGCATTTTGAAAAATTGAACTTAATGCATTTTAATATTCCATGAGCATGAATTTTAGAGCAATGCCATCCATGGTAAGGGCGATGCTTTTCAAATTTAGAATTATTTTGTAGGCTGGAGTGGAGAGCTTTGCATTTGCCTACCATGCTCCATTTAGATCTTATTATTCTGACTGCATTTTAGATTATAAAAATGTCACTTGGTTTTTATAGAGGAGCTGTTTCAGTCCCTCGGCATCCATACAAAGTTGCCTCCACAGAAGAGTCTCACATCATCAGCTCAAGAGGAAGTACTCTGCTCTCTAGTCCATTGTGTTCTGGCTAACTGACACATCCATCCATCAAAGCTAGTGTCTCACTCCTTTAGTCCTAAGTGTATAGATTTTTTTTAAA